TCATACCCTTACCAAAATCCCTCAATTACCTGAGTGTGTAGCTTGTAGGCTGAGCCAACACGAGCACTCAAGTGCAGTATCAAGAGTCCTTGCCTCCCCTTTGCAATGTTAGTATCTCTTTGTTTAAGCATTTTTTATTTTTCTTATACCATTTTCCTATAAGGATTATTTTGTTATTTGTATCAGTTTTTCATATTCTTTATATTATTCATTTTTCTATTACACACCCTATGCCACTTGTCACGGCAGGCAGGAATGGGAACCTGAACATGAAAACAGTTTTATCCCAGGACATGGCACTTTTCCATCTATGGCTCATGGATGATACATTCCACCCTAGTTTACCTGTGGAAATAATCCAAGATCCCCTCCCTAAATGCCCACCAAGTTCATTCTTCCTCCATAAGCTTTGTACACTCATAGCAAGTCATTTCTGTTACCTAGGCCCTCAACCAAATTTTTCTATGATAGCATAATCCCATCAGCTGTCCCTCAGCCAAATTTTTTCATGGCTGAATGGTCATGTCACCTGGATCCAATTGGTTAATAGTGATAATTAGAAATATATGTCTTTTTGCTCAATGTATTTATTTAAGTTATTTTATTTTTATTTTTTATTTTTTGTCATAACAGTGGTTGGTATCATCTTTTACTTAAAGAGGGCATGTACATACATTTCACAACAATATGGCATGCAAAGCACATGTCTGCATTAGGTTGAGATTCATATATTACTGTAATTATTGAAACCATACATTTGTTGTTATTTTTAACCCTTTTAATGACATGACCATGAAAAAACATGGAAAATGTGGCTACAGGCCAGGTGACGCGAATCGGCCATCGTAAACGTTTCAGTATAAGGCCGGATGTGATGGGAAAGACTTGCCGTGTGTGCACAAACTTCTTGGGAGGTTGATTAGACTCATTTGGTGATTTTGCATTGTGCTCATCAAGAAACGAGTGTGGAATGTAATGTCCATGCCTGGAAGAGCACTGGCTCCATTTCCATGCACATCATTGTATCAAAAACTACGCAAATAACACAATATCATATATTTTTATATTTATTTCACTTAGTTGAAAAGTACCTAGAGAGAAAACATCTGGATAATGCTAATTAAATGGCTAATATGGACATTGCAAAATGACAAAAAAAGCTAAAAACCCTAATGTGTTAAAAGAAGAAATAACATTGCAAATAGTTGTGTGGTGACAACATGTGTTTGCTTGCGCTTGGCCTACAAGCCATACAACCGGCAGTAAACCTAATGCCCAGATTTTTTGTTATGTGATTGCCATTACACAACTTTATCTAAGGGGTTAACAGCATTTTGTTATCATTGGTATTACCTCAACCAAGGAGGAGTTTATGTAATAGCAAGTAGTTATGGATGTCTTGATTTTTTATTGTTTGCAGACTTATGCATAAAAGTACACAAGGTTAACCCATTCGCGCCGGGTAAAAATGAACAAAAAATGAGGAAAATGCTGTGCTCATTTTTTATAGTTTTTAATGAAATTTCTCTACACTAGATGGCTCTGCTTTACCTGATTTCATTTGGCGGGAAAATGTATTTTTACTAGTGCTATGAATATCGATGGTTATTTTTATTATAAACATTATAATTACTATAATGTTACAAACATTAGTAACAGGAAAATAAGATAACGCAAAATAATTTCGTAAATTAAAGAAAAGGGTAAACAGACGAGACAGGCAGTACAAGTGCAAGTGGATCCATCTATTTTTGTAAACAATCAAACAAGTAAACTCACAGTGGGCCCGTCACGTATACGTGACGCCCGGCGCGAATGGGTTAATGAAAATGTATGGTGGATTGCCCATGACCCAAGAATGAAATGTGATTCAATTTTGGCAATGGCCCAGATCTAAGATGGAACAAACTTTTTAATGACCAGCTTAATTGTCATAGAAATGTTTGTAATCATGATGATACTTAAGATAATTTAGTTACCTGCTTATTTTTTAATCGGTCTTTTCTCCCTTCTTTTCAGATTCTCGAAGGCTTCAAGACCCCAGTAGAAGACAGCACTGTGATCACGCATGCATTGTTGCCAGAGTCTCGCACACTCACCCTAAATGCTCAGTCTTCAGTATCATTTGGCAACTATTTTGATAGGTGGGAGATAGATCTTGGGAGTATTATTGTTTTTCTTCTGTAAAACCTTTTCCTCTTCCCTCTTTTTGTCTTCTCCTCCTCCTCTTCCCTCTTCCTATTCTTATTCTCTTCCTCCACCAACTTCTCCTTCTGTTCTTATTCTCCTCTTCTACTGCCAACTCTTGCTTTTCTTATACTCGTCCCCCACCACCTCCTCCTCTTCTTCCTCTGTTTTGTCTTTTCTTTCACTTATTGTTTTGTTTATTTCAACCATATATTGGCTTGATTCTATTAGAATGTACTTGAGCTTACAGCATCATGTTAAAGATTACTTTCATAAGGGAAATAATGAAAAGAATTTCACAATTGTATGGTAATTATAATCCTTCACTAATAACAGGAATGGAAAGTCAGTATTAATTACTAAGAATGATAATAATTCCTGAATGATAAATAATCATGCAAAGATATATATACACTAGTAATTATAAACACAGAAAAGTCCATTCTTAGCACAAAACCCTTCTCTACCTAGAGTTAATGGCGCGCACAGCGATGAGTACCTTCTCCTCATCCACGATGAAACCAATGGCAAGAATTACAGCCTCAAGTTCCCAGGCAGTCGTCGCATCCGGGAGATCAAGGGTGACATCCACGACTTGACTAACATTGCAGTACGCAACCAGCAGTGGACAGGCTGGCCTCCAAATACTGATGAGGAGAATGTGAGTATGGAAGGGATGATATATGATTTTGAGTTCTATTTCTGTAGCCTAATATACTCTTGCTGTGGAAGTTTAGGGCTGGTGTGTTGTGTAACTCTGTCAATATTTTCAGTTTAACAAATTGAGTAAGGTTAGTTTGCATCTATGGGGTTTCTTTTTCTCTTAAAGGTAATCTTCAAGACAAAAGAGAGAGAGGGGTTTGAGATAGATGAGAGCAATATCTGGCAAATAGGATGAAATTATACGCCTTTTTGTTTACCTTCCAGACACTGAGGAGAATGTGAATGTTTACTTACATGAGTTAGGGTTTTGGAGATAGGGAGACAGGTTTTGGAAGTATCTTCTATTTTTGGTGAAGAATTTTGCCTCCAGACACCCGTGAGGAAAACATAGTATATTTAAGCAAAAGGTTGTTATTTATTTGGCATGATTACTGGCATTGTCAGGCCAATCAGTTTCTTCATTAAAGGGTATCATAGACAAATGTGGGAGGGCTATGTAAGTAGATATCTAAAATTCAAAAGCATATTAGGTTAAGTTCAGTGTCTGTAATCTTTGTTTGAAGATCATTCCATACGTGCTTGAATTTTTCTTAGACTTATACACATATATTCTAGTAAAATATACATCAGCAAGTTGCACTACCCTGAAGAGTATACCAGTAATGTTGTAAATAAAGAACTGGCTGCATTAGTTTATATAATTTATTGTTGATTAAAAAGTAACTCATTGGAAGATGTGGTATGAAAGTGATTTATAGTGTACTAGATTTATAAAACATTTTTGTCCTATATATCTCCTTTTACCTCCATTTATATTTGTTTCTGTTTGTTGCAGGCCACTTTAAATTCATCAGGGATTAGCAAACAGCATCACTTAACAGTGCGGAAACTTGTAAGGGAACGTACACCACGGGCCCAGAGAAAGGTAACATAACTTTATGGCATTATCTCAGTCCTTCTTTTCTCCTTTTTTTTTTTTTTCATTTTTTTTTTTTTTTTCTTTTTTTTTTTTCTTTTTTTTCTTTTCTTTTCTTTTTTCTTTCTTTCTTTCTTTCTTCCCTTCCCTTCCCTTCCTCCCTCCTCCTCCTCCTCCTCCTCCTCCTCCTCCTCCTCCTCCTCCTCCTCCTCCTCCTCCTCCTCCTCCTCCCCCCTCCTCCTCCCCTCCTCCTCCCCTCCTCCTTTACCTCGTTCCCCCTCCTCCTTCCCCTCCTCCTCTTCCCCCCTCTTCCTCCTCCTCCTCCTCCTCCTCCTCCCCCCCCTCCTCCTCCTCCTCCTCCTCCTCCTCTCCCCCTCCTCCTCCCCTCCTCCTCCCCTCCTCCTCCTCCCCCCTCCTCCTCTTCCTCCTCCTCCTCCTCCTCCTCCTCCTCCTCCTCCTCCTCCTCCTCCTCCTCCTCTTGCTCCTTCCCTTCCCCTTCAGTACAGACTGACTAATACTTCACAGCCTTTTTGAAAATACTCGTTCCTTTGTCTTAAAATATGGGCCCACTACATCAGACAGTACTGCCCTGAGATCTTGCAAACTGACTTTCATTGTTGCAAGAATTCCTATGCTAGCTTTTTTTATAATTATATTAGTTGTATTCTAAATGTGATTTTGAAATTGTACGAAGTTACCACTTCTGCAGTCATTTGTTTTGTTAACATATCAGTTAGCATTATGTTCATGACTATTTTACTAACATGAGGTTCTTTAGTTGTCCTGATGCCCATAGCCAACATATTTCAGCATTTGACCATATTAACTTTGATATGCTTACACTTTGCTCAGAAGGGGCCTTGAAAAATTTTGCTATAGATTGGTATTTTTTATTTTTTATTGTTCAGAAACATTTCATCCAGTACTGTTTGAAAATGCCTTATAATCAGTTCAAAAGTCAGAGCAGATGTCATTTGATCCCAGGATCAACTTGGACAACATCTAAGGCTCCACAGTACATACTCCAGCATGAATTAGTGGAATCTGTACCTGCACTTTGTTTAACAAATATACCTTGTCTCCTTAAGACACTGGTGGATACAGAGGACGATAACGCCTCGGGTGAAGAATTCGAAGACACTCCAGAGCTTCTCAATGATGATGACGACTTCTTTGGGATGATGGATGTAGATGTGCCTTCATCCAAGAAGCCACAGACACTGAGTGAGTGTTTGATTAAGAGAGCAGAATATATATATTTTAGGGTTATTTAAGCACATAGAACTAGATGAGGTGAAATAGAATTCTTATTATTCATAATTTCATAATCATAAGCATCTCTAAAAGTAAAAGAAATGAAGAGTTCCTGTTTCTCCCTATTTCTTCTTCAGTCCCCGCCGATATAGAGGATGAGGTGATGGGTGTAATACACTTCTCAGAGGAGTTCCGCAACCGTTATGGGAATTGCGTGCCCATGTTCTACCAGGGTTCGCTAGAGGATGCGCTCAAGGAGTCCGTTCAGCTACCAGCGAAAAATGTAGGAAGTTGGAATGCTTAAAGAAGTGTTATAGTGCCTATAACACTGCTTTATGCAAATGGTTTCCTAAAATGGATTGTATTTGCAATGCTTTGGCAACTTTTGACTCAGTTTGGATTAATTGCAGCATTTTTTTATTACATAACTCATTTATGTCTGTATAATAATTCTCTCAGGTGATATTCAGCAGTTGCATAATTTTTTATGTATTCAAATTTTTTCAGAAAAAAAATTGAATATAAATAAGTAAACCAATAAAACATATCTCTCCTACTTTTTAACAGAGAAAGTTGTTGGCTGTATACTTACATCATGATGGCAGCGTCCTGTCCAATGTTTTCTGCTCACAAGCTCTCTGTCAGCTCTCCACGGTGGACTACCTCTCAGCAAACTTTGTGGTTTGGGGTTGGGATCTCACACATGAAGCTAATAAAGCCAGGTAAGTATAGGGATTTCGTATCCTACAAATTAAACTCTGACCAAGTAAGGAAGCAAGTACTAGGTAATGTGCAGTTGAATGTATTATTCAGGTTGAAATATCCTGATTTATATAGCATCGTGATAGAAGAAGATATTAGTATAGAGGTTTCAATAGAAATACACTGAAGACAAACAATGATTCTTGGTTTTACATATAGCATCCACTTTAGCCAAATTAACTGGGCATCTGTTAGAATGAGAGTTTTCAATAAGTAAAAGTTTAGTATCTTTTTTAACCCACTGCTGTCAGGCACATGTGCCGTTCACTGTAGTTTTGTCTTGTGAATTTACACATGGATGGCTTCACAAGCCATAAGAATCAATTAGTAGATTGCCCATTTCCATTTTTTTCCAATATCATTCCTGTTTATTATTATTATTATTATTATCATTGTTGTTGTTATTATTATTACTATTATCATTGTTGTTGTTGTTATTATTATTATTATTATTATTATTATTATTATTATTATTATTATTACACACACACCTGATTATTTAATGTTGTGAACAGTTCCAAAATCCAGCCATCTGGCTTATTTAATTGTTGACTCTCCTGTGTGTGTGATTTGTAAACCAGGGTGTCCACAAACACTTGTGTGTTTTCAAGACTTCTTGCCTTCTCTTTGCATTGTTCTTATCTCTTTTCACACATAAGTGCTTTTTTGCCATTTTTCAAGGTATACATTTATCATTTAGTATAGTGTATCAAGATGGTAATAGAATATTTTCCTTGCACTGACTCTTTTATTACTCTGTACAGAAACAAAAACAATAAGTAACATCTTATTATTTGTGCCATCTTTTAATGTGGCATGTACATACATGACTGCCGGCATTGGGTTGAATATACATAATTGACTCTTATTCATTTATCACTGATACTTACAATTACAAAACTGTGTACATGCTGGCAAGTGGGCGGGTGGTAGGGCAGGTGTGCCCTCTTTTCAACAGATGCATTCTTGCTGTTTTGCCAAGTTTCTGTAGTCTGTATTTATAATTTATTATACCTAGATGGCTACACTTATATTAAGTCACCAATGAGTAATTATAATGTCTATAATAAAAATAACACTATCAATATTCATAGCATTAGTAAAAAATATGTTTTTCCTGTCAGTTCTAGGAAAGGTGAAACCAAGTAAGGTCACAAGGTCTACTAATTGAACACAGCATTTTTCCCGGTGGCATGTGGTTAACAGAATCCATTTTATCTCTCTTGCACTCTGTGCAACAATGGATAGGAATAGGTTCATGCATATAGACATAGTGTCCTCCCCAGAGTCAGCACTCTTCCAGGCATAATTCACAGATGGTACATTTTACCCTTGTGGACTAGTGGAAATCCTGCAGGAGCTTGTGAATGAACCCCTTCCTGAAGGACCACTGAGTCAGTCTCACCCCAAGTGCTTTGTGTACTCATGATAAAACATCCCCAACATTAGACAATTTGCAACTATTTCCCCTGTCACCTGTCCCTCAGCCTCTTCTTCTTCTTCTTCTTCTTGCACCTCCTTCTCTTCCATAACAAAACATTCCAGCAATTTTTTTCATGGCAAGACATCAACATTACCCAGATCCAGCAGGATAAGAGCAATAACAGAATCACGGAAAAGTATTTTGTAATGCATTTTTTTTTGTCCCGTTTACCGTTATTTTTTATTCCATTTCTTTCCACAGGTTATTGAACTTAGTAACCACACACTTTGGCTCT